GTGTGTGTGCGTGTGTGTTGTGTGTGTGTGTTTGCACGCGGGCGTATGTGTCTCTGTGTGTTTGTGTATGTGTACGTACGAGTGTTTGTGAGTCTGTGTGCCCATGCACGTACCTGCCTGTGTGTTAGATTTGTTAACAAGAGAATCAGAGTCCACCCCAGGACAATAGCCCAACCCACAAAGAGGAGCAAGTCAGCAAGAGGCAATCCCAGAAAGTGGAAAGAGAGAAGCAGCTGGGTGTCTCCTTGTTTCTGAGGTAGACTGTTCCGCGATTAGCAGTCGGCTGACTGGTACCGGTACCCAGCTCTGTCGCTTCCCCGGGCCAATGGCGCTCCTTATTGGATCCGCATCCCTTCGTCCTCAAAGTCGACCCAGGAGGCCCCACCTTCCTCACAAACTCGATTTGACCACGGCCAAGGAATACACTAGATTTTATTTTACTAATTCTATTCCTCATTATAAAGACAACTCATCTTCATCACAAAAAAAAATTGAGAAATACCCCAAAACACAAAGAACATGTAAACACTCATCGTCCTGCCACCATTATTATTCTATTCTACAAACTAAAAGTGTTTTTTTTCCCTGCAAGCTGGAATGAACACAGTTGCATTTAATAAGACTGAGAAGCTGCCATGCACGTTACTTGTAATCAGCTTCTTTTAGTTTCAGTGTATCTTAAATATCCCTTTCCAGTTGTCTTCACAAATGTATTTTTTAATAAGCCATGTGGTCTTCCATTGCATGGGTCTACACTCATTTATTTAACCAGCACCCTATTAGTGGATAATAAGTCTGTCTCCAGTTTTGTATGATTTTAAAAATCATGATTAACTTCCCAGAAAATTAGTATGATGCACATCCCTGATTATTTCCTTAGGACCAATTCCTCCAAGTGGAATTACCAAATGAACCGATTAGTACAATTTTAAGGCTTCTGATATCTTTTGCCAAATTCTCCTCTCAAACAGTTTATCTATTTTCATTCCAGCCAGCAGTTTCTGGGATTTATTTTCTCATTAGCAATAGGTATTATGATTACTTGACTATACATTTGCTAAGCCAGTGCATACAAGTTAGGCTTGTGTTTCACTGATAAGTTTGTCTTTTCAGGCATTTATGGAACATGTACTGTGGTAGGTACTTTTTGGTACATTTCTACAGATATTATTCACCTAAACTTCAAAGGACAATAGTCCTTTGAAGCAGGTACCCTATCTCCTTTTAATGAACAAGGAAGCTAAGGCTTGGGCAAACTGAGGTTTATGCTGAGCTCTGCCGCACACCAGCTGTGTGATGTTGGGGGGTGGTGCTCCCAACCTCTCTGAGCTCAAGAATACCAATGATCTGAGTCTCTCAAAGTTCCGGTGATCCTTCTAGTGATCCCATAACTTTGAGTCCCATACTTAAGTGTTCAATGTTGGACCAGGAAGCCAGGAGGGGACTTTAACACTCCTCTCTCAAGTACAAAGAAGCCTACCAGCTCGCAGATCCAGTCCTTTGCAGTCATGGGAACTAACTGGAAAAGAGCCTAACACAATTAGTAGTTGCTCAACAAGTCAGGGTGTCTACCACACAGGGTGGGACCTTAACACATGCTTGTTGAAGAAATGAATGAATGCAGAGTAGGTCATTACCACCCATCCATGAACCCTACAGCTCATTCTTTTGTCACCATTTCTGCCTCAGGATCTTTTTTTTTTTATTTTTTTATTGTTATGTTAATCACCATACATTACATCATTAGTCCTTGATGTAGTGTTCCATGTTTCATTGTTTGTGCATAACACCCAGTGCTCCACGCAGAACGTGCCCTCTTTAATACCAATCACCAGGCTAACCATCCCCCCACCCCCCTCCCCTCTAGAACCCTCAGTTTGTTTTTCAGAGTCCATCGTCTCTAATGGTTCGTCTCCCCCTCCGACTTACTCCCCTTCATTCTTCCCCTCCTGCTGTCTTCTTCTTCTTTTTCTTAACATATATTGCATTATTTGTTTCAGAGGTACATATCTGTGATTCAACAGTCTTGCACAATTCACAGCACTCGCCATAGCACATACCCTCCCCAATGTCTATCACCCAGCCACCCCGTTCCTCCCACCCCCCACCACTCCAGCAACCCTCAGTTTGTTTCCCTGCCTCAGGATCTTTGCCCAAGCTGTTCCCTCTGCCTGAAATGCTTTTCCTCCCAACTTTTCATCTGGCTAATTCCTACTTAGCCTTCAGGGCTCAGCTCAGAAGACACCTCCTCCAGATCAAGTGGGGACTCCTTGTCTTAACCCTTTATGACATCATGCATGCGGCCTTCATACGTCTCGCCTTTGCAATCCATCTGCAATCTGATCGTGCAGATTACATAAGGGCTGTGTCACTAAACCATACGCTCCAGAAGAATACAACCTCTATCACCTTGTTCACTACTGTGTCCTCAGCATTTCTACATGTCCAGTCCGGAAGAAGCATCCACTAAATATACTACAGGAATATGGCAACTTACACCATGTCTCTTGACATCTGAACAGTAATAAAACTACACAAATATTTGCATGTGACATCCTTAAGCCTACCAATTCAGTGGAAAGATACTTTGTAACCATTGTTTGAAACCCAAAGAAGTTAATTTGCCTCTGTTATGGAACGAGATGTCCCTTCTATGACACTTGCTGTGAGCACGTTTTTAGTGATTTTGCATTGGCAGCAACTGTTTGAGCGCTGCGCTGGAGGGGTGTTAATTCAGTATTCTTGTGATGTCCTTGTGAAAAAATAAGACTGACTACCTTGTATAGTTGGTAAATGAGTTTTGGCAGGTAATTTTTTCAAATGCAACCTTTTTTTTTTAACCCATCAGAATAAATACCTATTTAGGGTACAGTCAGAATTTATTCAGTGAAATTTTAATTCATTCTCTGCGGGGATGAGAATACATTGACTAGTTTCTCCACTGTACCTACAAGAAGCTGAGTTGTCATTTCTTTATAATTAATTCACACGTCTTGGGAGTTCTTTGCCTAGGAAAAGTTCCAGGGGGATTTGATTAAATGAATAATTTGTAATCAACAATCTAGTTGTTCCTGTTTCAAGGGGATGTGATATATCTGATGGTCCTTGATCATTTGAAAGGTGCAGGCACTGAAATTACAACAATTTTGAAAAACTGCAGCATGAATTTACTCACAAATCTGCTGCTCTGCTCTGCCCTATATGTATCACACTGGACAAACTCACACATCTTAAATTTGGGGGTTTTAAATAGTCATCGAAGGTCCCTAAGGTTGCTTGCATTAGGACCTCCAAAACACTTGATTCCAGCAATTAATTCAAAGAAAGAGATCCTTCAGAAAATCAAGTACTAGGTGTTATAGAGAGTATGACCAATATTTTTTGATCAGTTGAGATTCCTGATGATCTTTTTTCTTCCAACGCTGACACAAATTCAATGAAAGCAAATAATTCCATCCCAGGGATATAAGCCAAGAGATAAATATATTCAGCTCCATCACACTCAAATACAGGATTCCAAATATTCCCTGAGACCAGCAGGAGAAAGAAGATGGGGTAAAAATTGCACCTGCAAGACAACTTCTTCCCATGTCCTCCACCTAATTTTTCCTCTATTCAGTCGGTAGAAAGAACAGGGTAAAAAAAAAAAAAAAAAAAGGGTATTCAAGTTCCTTGTACTTTTTAAGCACATGGTATTTATTAGGCATTAATTGGCACACAAATATACGAAACGAGTACTTAATTCTCACCCCACCCCTTAGCAACATAAAAAGGACATAATCGCATGAGGACACTCACGTACAAACATACTCACACATTCGCACGTACTGGGACATACTTAGCCTCACATATTACCCTGTTCTGTTTATTAGGGTCAGTTTAAAAAAAATTTTTTTAATCAAGAAAGCAAAGCACATTCGAAAGAAAAAAAAAACGCAAACTTGGTTTTGAGTATTAATAAAATTAAAAGCTCTTGGCCAGCTCATATGCTGGATTTCATTTCATGTTATTACTTAATTAGAACTCCTATTTATAAATAAATAGTACCAGTAAAATATTACATCTGAAGAACCCTGCAATAACATTTTACTTACACGCTTATTTTTTTTAATACCGTTTTCTGCTTTCAATAACTGCAGTTTTGAATCGGCATCTGGTGTCGGTGTGATTTCTTTGGGGAGAACCAATCGGCGAGCACGTCTGGCCCCTTCTGTAGGAACAGTGGGTTCTGCTTGGCATCCGGGGCGGGTCGTCGGTGATGGAGGTTTGGAAGCTTGGGGCTGGCTTTGTGTTTTATCAGGACCAATATTTACTTTGGCCTTTTTGCAACGCTTGTCAGCACAGAGCTTGCTCCTTGCTTTATCACAGTTCTGCCCACATGTAAACCAGGGCTTTTCAAGTTTTTCAAAGCAAGCTTTCCGGTCGGGAAGCCATAGGCCACGTTTTAGCGACAGACGGCTGGAAAGACACAGAGCTCGGAAGATGGGAGGGCAGAAGGAGATAGGAGGCCAGATGGAGGCCAACGTTATAAGGAGAAGGCCACACTGGGCTCCGTGATGATGGGCAAGAGAGGAAAAATCAGACAAAAGCTGGGACCTAGGGAACCTTTTCAGGAACATCACATGGCAGAGGTAGGTCATTTCTTAGTCAAGGGCAGGGTGGCAAATTTAGGTTTCAGGGGTGATATATCTGGGGTGGAACCCCACCAGTACATATTTTGAAAACACACTTGCTTCAGACCTCCCCCAAAATAAGGGACTGGGTCCCATTAAGAAAACTGAAAGAAAAAAAATATATTATTATTTATTATATAACAATGTCAACATTAACACCAAGACAGGGAAGACTCCATCTACGCCATTCGGCTAAAACACTCGGTAAGGCAAGGCTTTCTGGAGACCAAAAGAAGGAATCACCGAGGACATCTGGAGGTGGTGTGAACATGGCCGGCTGACGAGTATGGTGGTCGTGGTGGGTGGGGGCTCCTCTTTTTTCAGTTGGTTTTGAGACGGAACAACAAAGTCACATTTTTTGAATTGTGGTTTCAAGCAGCCGATTAGATCAGCGCCCGGGGCTCTGGAGTGCAGACGTGAACACTGAAATGAAAAATGCTGTCCGTGGGGTTCTCTCTGCTACTGTCTCTCTCCCGCTCTCCCGCTCTCGCTCTCTCTCCCTCTCTAGCAACTGTCTGTGAGGAAGCAGGCCTCACTTTAGCTGTTCTCACTCCACTCTGGCACCATGCCAACGCCGTGCACCGAGTGATACTGGTGCGGGGACAGGGTCCGCGGCACGCCGTGAGAATAGAGGAACTCGGACGGTTGCAGGCCGCCGGGGGACTGCAGGCCAGTCTGAGGCCCACACTGCCTGACCACAGGCTGGTGGGCCACGGAGGTCTGGTGCTGGAACATTCCCTCTCCGAGCTGCGGGGAGCCGTGGTTGGCCATGCCAGCCAGCCGGGGAACCAGGGGCCCCGAGGTGAAATGGGCCGAGAAGTGCTGGTAGGGGAGCCTGTCCATGGGCTGCACCGTGGTAACCGTGCAGCTGCTGTAGGAAGGCATGCTGGGCCACGTGTTACAGCTGATGTCCTCCAAGCTGGGCACCGGCTCGCTGGGCGGCCCGGCGCTGGCATACATGCAGGCCTGCCGCTGGGCGGACTCTGTCCTGTAGGAGGCGCTCAGGCCCTGCTGCTGGGGGTAGCTGGAGCGGTAGAAAGGGTCCTCCTCACCGGGTGACGTCTCCATGTAGGGCTTCTTGTAGGGATGGTCCGTGGTGGAACATTCTTCATCTGCGGAGACAGGAGGACAGAGACCAGTGAGGCCGGGAGCTAGAGGCGGACTCGGCCACAGGACTCAAGGATCCCGTCCGGGGGACTCTGAGCGCCAGCCTCCATTCTGATCACGAGAAGTGGGGACGGTAATGGTGGAGGCCTGGAGCACAGACCTTGACCCCTCTGAGCTCGGCCTGTAAGTTCCACAAGGGCGGGACATCGTCTGTGCTACCCACCACGGTATTCCCCAGAATCCAGAACATACCTGGGAGCCAGAATAATAATAAGACCCTCCACGATAACAGTATGAATGCACACAAACAGCATTTACTCCGCCGGGGTCTGTTCTGAGCGCTCTCCGGAAAGGGACCCCATGCAGCCTGCTCAGCAACCCCATGGGGTGGGCTCTGTGAGGATCCCCATTTTGCAGATCACAAAACGGAAGCCCAGAGAGAGGTCAAGCAACCCGCCCGAGGTCTGCTGCTAAACAGTGGAGCGGGGTGGGTTAGAATTCAAGTAATCGAATTACAAGTCTCTGCTCTTCGGGACCACGCTACCCAGAGAGGCACGCACTGAGTATCTGTGCCACAGACGGAAGGATGGATGGACAAGTGCATAGATGGACAGGAGCTCGGGCGAATCCCCAGATCCTTCCCCAACACCTCTGTCGGCAAGTCCCAGTTAATATCTGTTAGAGTCGGTACAACTTAACGGGTCACCATTTCCTTATTGAAAAAGTCACTTCCCTTCCCCCCAGACACCAGCTAACCCCCTGCGTAGGGCCGTGGAGATCATTCTGTCTCTGAAAAAGGGTCTTCCGTAACTACTTTGGGGTCACTGCCTCCTTCGGGAACAATCACAAGCGCTGGGCTCTCTCCTAGAAACACACAGCGAAACACAACATTTTGAAAACCACCCATGTGCCTACTAGCACAGCTTTGCACGCACTTGCAGGAGCTCAGCGATCCCCTGAAATCCGGACCCCAAGTTAAGAAGTATAGACATATCTGAGTTTCAATCTGGTTCTCCTACTTCCTATCTGTGTGCCAGGAGCAGGGCCGGCCTGAGATTCACGCTCAGCTTGTCTAAATCAGAGTTAGTCATACTTACCTCACCTGGCCGCTAAGAATTCAATAAATCAAGCACGTAAATCTCCTGATACCTGTCATCAAGAGCAGCTCTTGCTGCAAGGGAAACACCACCAGTCAGTCTCTCAGCAGACCTAACACAGATTAACACACCTCCAGGTGTTTCCTTCAGGGAAGCAATGCTTGAGAGTTTCGGCCAAGGTGTAAACCTCATCTTCCAATCTCTTTTGAATCAATAAGTGTTAAGAAAAAGTGTCTGTTGTTGGGGGGTGTAAAGAAAAAGGAAACACGGGGGCATCCCTGCACCTGCTGTGACGGTCAGTGGCCTGGGGGCAGCACATGGAACTAAATAATGGGAGGAGATCATCGTTATTAGGTATTGAGCACCTACTAAGAGACCTTTCCCTGGTCTCACAGTAATTCCTCCAGGTGGCCCCTCTTGCCCCCATCAATGGGCAGAAACTGAACTCAGAGAAGTGAGCTTCCCAAGGTCACGGAACTGGGAAGGAGCACGGGCTGGAATTGAAGCCACGTCTGGCTTCCTTGCCAACCACACCTTGCTTCCAGCTCTCTCGATTTCTCACAGCGAATGCCAGTCACCTAGTCATCCAACAGAGATGTGCTGAGCCATGACCAAGTGCCAGGTGCTGGGCATAGAGCGGTCAATAATTAGCCAGGGTCCTGCTCAGTGCACTTTGGAGGTGGGGGGGCTCTCCATCCCACCCTGAGCAGTAACTGACAGTGGGAGGCTGACGCTCGGTGAACAGGAGGTGGTCCTTGCATATAAAGCTTCACCCCACAGGGAGTCCTTTGGTTTTTGCACAGGATTTTAAAACAGCTCCCCAGCTCGAGTAGGAGAGCTTGGGTTTGGGTTCCACCGAATGCTTCCATGGGCATCACACCCTGAGTGACACCCATAGGCGGGTAAAACTCTGCCCCATCTAAACCCATCTATGCTGGGACTGGACCCACCTCCCAGCAAGCACATTTATTTTTAGCTAGACTCTTTCTGGGACACATCTGGGCCCCATAGGACGCCCAAACATTTGTCCAAAATAAAAGCCAAAAACGCAGCCTCTCTTCCAGGTGCTTTATCTACATCATGCCAACTATCCAGATGTTTGAAGACATCCAGATGAGCCCGTGGCCACTTTTTCCACCTTCCAATGGGGCATTTGTCTTTGGTGTCTTGAAGACATTGCTACACTCGAACTTTTCTGTCCTCCCCACCTCCTCCCTCGGTTCCCTCGTGCCTCCATGCTTCCTTCCAACCTACCCACCTCCCCAACCCCCACCCCCCGCCCCAGATCCATAAATCTGAATGTTTCCATTGTTGCTAGAATCATAACCTTTGGGTTTTCCATTTAACCAGGGCGTTCCCCTTTTCAATAATCAAGAGTACAGCTGCAGGGTACCCTTGGCAAGAGAAAAAAACAAGGCAAACTAACCATTCCCGAGTTTCTGATCCCCTTCCAGATTTGTTACAAGCAAAAAAAGGAAGAATAATATGAAAAAGGCCAGAGCACATTTTGGAAAATCGTAAAATTACACATTCCAGTCTTTAATAACCCGAAGATCTGATGCAGAGTCCTAAGAAAAGCAAAAGCCTGGCTTATTCATGAAAGCGGGTCCCGAGTGTCCTCAAATTCCTCTTTGGACCTCATCACATTGTAAAGAAATTCCAAAGCACAGATCCAAATTTCAGGTCGGGGGTGATCAATGGTTGGAATATAATCCCTGTGTTTGTTTTGGCCATGGTTTTGGTTTCTTTCTCTTTATTGGGAGCCTGATAATTGGTCAACAGCAAAGATCTCTTCCCCAGCCGAGTCGTGTTTCCCTTCCACGGCCGGGGAATAGGTAGTCAAGCATCAAGTCTTCCATGAGACAGGTCCAGCGCTCAGTTTCAGAAAGGTGAGTAGTAAGAGTGGTCAATTATATTCCACCTGTCCTGAACCCAACTGAGTCTCCTGAATAACAGGAAAGCTCCTCCTGATTCTGAGCACCGATCACCAAATAGCACTGTGAAATATCCCAGCCCCTTGCATTTTTCTAGTGGTTTCTGATTCTGGATAAATGGCTTTAACAATCAATCCAGAGCACAGATTGTAGGGCATGTCTCTGACTCTCCCTGCCTATGTGACCTTGGACGGGCCGCTGCACCATATCCCAACCTCAGTTCTTGACTATGTAGGGGGATAATGCTTAGATTTCTTGCAGGAATGGAGATGATAATAAAGTGTTCAAATCTTATCTGTCCACGTAACACGGGTCTCCTCTCTTTTCCCTCTCAGAGAAGATCGGATGGATGGCTGTGTGGAGGCTGTCCAATGCTTGAAGGTGTCTGGGTAGATCCCAGAGCAGGAAAACTCACAAGGCTGCTTTTAAATTGTTCATCCCATTAAGCAAATATTGTCACTATTCCCAAATGGGTCATTTCTCTTGCTGATTGGGTTTATTCGGATGAAAGATCTGGGTGAACCACCACTCCTGGGCTGAGTGACCTTCAGCAAGTCAGAAGAGGAAGTATGATTCAGGCCTTCTGAGTCACAACACAGTGCTCTTTCTGACAGACAGCCTAAGTCTTTCAGCTTTCGTGTCCAGAAAAAAAGAAAAGATGGTAACCTTGCCCTGGTGGGTGGGTGGATAGATGGATGGATGGATGGATGTGACAGCCTAAGCCTTTTGGCTTTCATGAAACTCACTGTGTCCAGAAAAGATGAAAAGATGGTAACCTTGACCTGGTGGATGGATGGATGGATGGATGGATGGATGGATGGATGGACAGATGGATGGTTGGTGTGTGTGTGTCCCCGTAATGTTAGCTCTTAGCTCAAAGTGGGGACAGACTGAATCAGTATTGTGCGAAGATTCTCAGTTGGGAATCAAAAGACTCGGGTCCAATCCTCACAGAACCACCATCAAAATCATGACATGTATTTATTTGCTTATTATCTGTCTCCCCAAGGAGAATACAAATTTTGGGAAAACAGGGACCTTCGCCCCCTTGCTGTCCCCTTATCCCATGTACAAGGGACAGCGCCCGGTACAAAGTAAATGCTCAACAAATATTTATTTCACGAGTGAATCCCGGATCTGCCACTCACCAGCCACATAACCTTGGAAAGCCAGTCCAACCTCCTAGTCCCCTGTTATGCCCTGCAAAATGGGGATGGAGGGCACCACCACCCCCAACCCCGGCTCATGGGCTGGAAGGAAGGTCCAGTGAAGGAAGCAACGTGAAATTGCTCTAAAAAGCACAGCACTGACAAAATGCAAACCACAGAACCCTTTACTATATTCTCTTCCCACCCCGCCCCCCGCCCCACCTCTGACTTCCCTTTGAATAGCCAGGGCAGTAGATGGCTTTGCTCAAATCTTTATTTGGGTTGCCTCTGGTTTCTAAGGTTGGGGAGGGGGGCGGTTATCAGGGTGGGAGGGGGAAAGAAAGACAGACAAGTGTTCTCCCAGGCCCCGGGGTCCTGGATTTGATTGAGTGGCATTGATAAAAGACCTTCCTGGCTCTTTCAGCTCCATCCACGGGGAGAGATAGTTTGGAGACAGCTGGGTCCAAACACAAGAAACCCTCTGGCCTGCCTGGCCCTTTGACATTTCGTTGGGCCTGCCTCCTGGGCTCGTTGGAAAGGAGACAGACAATGAGGGGAAGTCAGATAGTGGGGCAGGCAGGGGCCGCGGCGGTGGGGGGGCGGGGAACCACCCACGGAGCTATCACTTCACGGGAATCCCAAACTGGAAGGAAACCTTGCTGATTCCTTATCACCTTACAATGGAGGCTGATGATGAATTGCTTTTTGTCGGCACGCGGGACAGACAGAGCTCGGCTGGAATGCTCCCTGTCCCTGGGAGCGCCCTTTTGGGGGTGGAGGGAGGTGAGAAGGGTAGAGGTTTGTGGCAAGGTGAAAGGGGTCCTGCAGGGTGCACACCCCCTGCAGCCCGAATGCACGGACCGTGGCATGAACTTGGGGTGGGACCACTCACAAGCCGGGTGATGCTGGACCAATCGCTCAATCTCCCTGAGCCTCAGTTTCTGCATCTGTGGAAAGGGAGTCATTCTTCACCTTGTTATCGGCAACGGGTCCCTGGGGCCTGATTGTACCCACACCTGCAGATCTTGTGCTGGCAGCCGGGGCTGAACACTGTCATTTCCCGCCTCAGGGTCTGCAATAGCCTCTCGGCAGAGCTTTGCAGCCAATCCTCGTCCTCCCCCCCGCCCCCGACTCCCCAACACAGCAAAACGTCTGCTTCAAAACAGAAACCTCATCACATCCCTCACCGGTCAAAACCCCTCCGACGGCTGCCTGTTGGGGTTAGGATAAAATCTAAAGTCCTGGGGCGCCTGGGTGGCTCAGTCGTTTGAGCCTCTGATTCTTGATTTGGGCTCAGGTCACGATCTCAGGGCCCTGGGATCGAGCCCCTCATCAGGCTCCCTGCTCAGCACGGCGTCGGCTTGTCCTTCTCCCTCTGCTCCTCCCCCTGCTCGTGTGAACGCTTTCTCTCTCTCTCTCTCTCATAAATAAACAAATAATCTTTTTAAAAAAAACCTAAAGTCCTTAAAATGACTTACAAGGGCTGGCAGCGTGCTGGCTCCTGCCTTTCTCCGTAGCTCATCTGCCTCCCCTTCCCCTCCCTGTGTTCCAGCCACAGTGGTCCTGTGTTTGCTCCCCAGCGGGGGCTGGCTCCCCAATCTCTGAGGGGCTGCACCCATACCCCTCTGTCTGCCTAGATCCCCGGCCATCTCCCCTCTTTCTCCATCCAGCTTCCGCTCTGCAGACCTTGGCTTAAATTTCCCCTGGTCCCCCGGCTCCTGCATCACACCCCGCATCATATGCATCGGCACGTTTCCTATCTCCTTCACAGCATCAGATCACCGCTTTAATCAAGCAGTCGTATCACCGTATATAATTACATATCTGACCCGCTTGCAGCCGTGAGCTTCCTAAGTGCAGAGTGGTGGCCAGCTGACATGCATCGAGCACTTAGATGTGTCGGGCACTGTTCTGGGTGCTTTGCATGAAACCTCTCGTTCCATCTCATCATGACCCTGTGGGGGGAGATGTTACTGTAATCCTCATTTTGCAGAAAAGGGAGTTGAGGCTGAGAAAGCAAGCAGCTTGCCCATTGCCATGCTGCTGGAAAGCGTCAGCTGCTGGGATGTCCTGTGGCAGACAGGCCACCAAGTCCGGCTTCCCCAGTGGCCACCTCGAGTTGACCCTGAGCTCACCTGAGGATCCCTCCAAATACCCTGTGCGGGTCATCTGCTCACATCATCGGAAGACTTCATCCCCTTGCCTTCAAAGCCTTCTCACACCACCCTCCAAGAGAAAAGCCTTTACAAGGATGATGCTGTAGATACTGAATCTAAAAAAGTACCTGGATTCTTTTTAACTTCTTCCTCCCCTTCTTTTGGCCTGGCATTAATTTAATCGACAGAACTCCCTAATTCAAACCTGGTGAGCTCTTCATCAGTATGCTTGACTCAGTCTCCAGACCGATCTCTAGTGAAAAGTGACATTTTGAGATTATGGCTGATAAGCAAAGGTAGTGGGGACCATCTACAGTGTGACTCGGAGCTCAGGCAGAGCCTGCAGACCAAGCATGGGTTCAAATTCCCACCTTCGGGAACCACGAGCACATGATTTTACCTTTCTGAGCCTCAGTTTCCCTGTTTGTAAGGTGAGTGAATAACAGCACATACGTAATAGTGTTGTCAAAAGGTTATGACCTAGAACCTAGGCAAGGCTTCCCTTCAACAGGACATAGATCAGAATCTTCATTCTGATCAATCACCTGTGCCCCAAGGGACGTGCTTAAATCCTGCTCGTGCCTGAAGAGGCTGACATGTTTGCAGGCATCTGGTCTCCAGCCCAGGCGGCAGTGGACATGCTGGGAGCTGGGCCAGGGGGCCCATTGGGGTGATATTATTGTTCAGGCCTTCAAGATCCAAGGAGCTTGGATGGGCTTCAGGTTAAGTCTGGAAACTCAGCCTTGCCCAGGGCAGCTCCCCAGCCCCAGGCTTGAACCAATGACAGCCCTTCTCTCCTTCAAGACATGAGATCAGTAAATGTCAAAGAGTCAAACTGTGTTACTTTCCTCGAGTAACCTCTGCTCAGAGAAGACTGCCAAAGCAACCATTTCCATCAGTTCTTGTTAGTGAACTGATTTAAAGGAAGAAGATGATGAAGGAGAAGAATGAGAAGAGAAGAAGAAGAAGAAGAAGAAGAAGAAGAAGAAGAAGAAGAAGAAGAAGAAGAAGAAAAGAAGAAGAAGGAGGAGGAGGAGGGAGAGGAGGAGGGAGAAGAAGTAGTTGTTCCAGATACTAGGCGCTGGACTTCTAAAGGCATCGAGTTGGCCACTGAGGCTGGGAGGTATGAGAGACCCCTCTCAAAGACTAAGATCTGGGCCTGCTGGAGCAAACCAGTGACTGCTTCTTGGGTCAACCTTGTGCTAAATATGGCAAGCACACTTTCATGAGATCATCACACCACACCTATGGGACAGGTCCGATCATGAGACCAAATCTACAGATTAGAAAAAATAAGGCTTAGAGCAGTTAAGGAACTTGCTCCTAATCATAAAAATCTGCAAATGGCAAAGGTGGGATTCATCCCAATTATACGTGGTCCCTGCCCCCCCATATCTGCTTTCTCGAAACTTCACCCAGATAAGCAGCCTTCCCTTCCTCTGTGGATGCTCCCCCTGGAGCCATACCTGCCACTCACACAATCAGACCTAACACCTGCTGGGTGCTTACTGAGTATCAGATGCTCTGGTGATCTCAAGCACCATTTACAAGGCGAGAAACTGAGGCATAGAGAGGCCAGGACACCTGCTGAGGTCATACAAGAAGCTGGTGGTGGAGTTGAGACTCAAGCCTGTGTCGTCTGGCCCTGTCGCCCATGCTGTCCCCACCGTGCCGGTCTGCCGTTCACACAAGTGACCGTTCTATTAAGCTGAACTCAACCACATCCGCTTCAACTCTGGCTCAAAAAATGTGCCACCAGAAATTTCCTTTTGTATTACAGCCCTCAACTCAGATGACTTAGGAAAAGTCACCCATTTCTCATTTGGCAAAGAAGACAATGAAGGGTCTCAGACAGAATTTAAACTAGATTTAAAGAAAAAATGCACAGGAGAGAAGATCAGTTGTGATTTTCTTTTTTTTCTTTTTTTTTTGATTTTGATCTGGAATGAGAGAAGAGCTCAGAATCCACCCACCCAAGAGAAACCCTAGTACATGAACTAAAACACATCCAACTACAAGAAGGCTCTCTGCAGCCTGGCCTGTAATACAACCAGAAACACTAGAAGCAGCCACCTTGTCCACTCGTGGGAGTGAAAAATAAACTCTGCTTCATCCTTTTGAGGCCATATTTTCTCTTCAGCGGCTAGAAAGCGCAAGGCAGCTCTAGGTTCAGGAAAAGATCATCTACAACGTATTCCCGAGCTTAAGAAAGGCAAGTTGCAAAATACAGACAGTATAATATCAACTGTTAAAAGTAAAAACAAAACTATTTTTATGTGTCTCTGCACAATGGGTGTGCGTGCACACCCATGTGTAAATGAATTAAATAGGAATGGACAGTTCAAATAAGTTTTCCCCAAGGAAGGGGCCAGAACTGGAGGAGATGTATCAAGGGAGATTCTTCTCTTTTACTGATATGGTTTGAATTTCTTACAATTTCCATGTATTTTTATATTGCTTACGTTTTTTAAATAAATAAACATAGTTATGTGTACTTTTTTTTTCCCCAAGGAAAGGAAGGAAAAACAGAAAAGGGTCATCACACTCACCTTTCCTCTTGGTGCAATGGTAAATCTGACCGTGCTCCTGGGGCAGTGGGTATGGGTTGGGTGGGGGCAGGAGGTCCTGGGAGGGGCCGGACACACCATTCTCGCACTGGTACTGGGACCCCAAGTTGGATGAGGCAGAGAGAGCTCGAGGCTCACTGCTGAAAGGACTGTGGTTGGAGGCTACTTTTTGTCTTACTGTGCTCCTGGGAACCACAGGATATTCTTTACTGAAAGAGAGAAGATGGGAAATAACATTGATCAGTGCCCTGATACAGATTCCCCCCACTGGCTGAACCACAGGGTCAAAGAATCCACCAGAAATTCATCACAGAATAAGAAAAAAAGCAGTCTTTGATGAGCACAGTGATCCAATTATACCCAAGTGCTTCAAACACCACAGACACATATATCCACGCACTAACTTTTCATGCCTTATACATTAGGCAAGTAGGTTTATGAATAGTCCTATGTGTATGCCAAAAATTAAATGAGCATCCCCCACGAGGAACCCCTCTTCACATGGCATTTTGAAATATTTCAACCTAATGTATATGTCTTTGAATTCCCTAATTCAAAAGCTAGAAGAGCAAAGCAGTCACTTAGACTGAACTTCTGGGTTTCCATCTTTAAAACAGGGCTGAGGTCTTTGTCCAACCTTAGTAAAGAAGTTGCTGACCACCTAGGATAGTCAGGTATGATCTTCGGCTACCCTGATCTGGGCAGTTTGCTGCCTAAGCCTTCGAATTTCCTTTTGAGCGGGTGTACTTGTCACCACCGACAATAATCAACTTATCCTCCATGCCTGGCTAGTAAAAATCCCCAGTTCAAACATTGATGAGAGAAGAAAGGAACTAATACGTGTGAAAAACTGAACATAGCAAGTGCTCCACAAATGGCAAGCATCATTATTGCCATTGTTTTGAGACAGTAGGAGAGAGAAAGAGAGGGAAAGAGAGGAAGGAAGAGCAAGGACAAAGGAAACAGAGCACAGGGCATGGGATCTAAAATTAGGCAGATCCAGATTCACATCCCATCCCCATCACTTACACACTGTGTGCCCTTCGGAGCTTCAGGGGTCACACGAGTGAACAAAGCAGAATAAAATCCAGCGACATCCTATGAATAGCGTCCTCCCAAGGGCTCAGAATGTGGTTCTTCACCCTCTTAGGATACACCATCCACACGCCCTTGCCTTCAGCTTTCATTCCAGTATTCCCACTCTCTTCCTCACATTAGCCTGGAGACTTCAACTGAAACCTCCCCTGGGAAGGAGGGAGGTGTGCTCAGCAGGCCCAGGAGCCCCACAGGAAGCCAGGTGGGTGGGGAGGGTCAGAGTGGGAGTCTGCAGAGGAGCTGGGAGGAGGGGTGGCTCTAAGATCAAAGGAAGAATTGAGAGAAGCTTACGAAGAGAATGGTCTGGCCTGGAACACGTGCTCATCCCATGCAGGAGAGGGGGCTGCCAATGTTTGGGGTGCAGAGAGGAAATCGTGGGCAGGAGAATCACAATTACACTGTGCAGGCTGGTGGAAGGGTGATCCAGCGCCTTCTTTTTGGAAGGCAACTGGATAGCATCCCTTTTCTTAAAAACGTACAATAACGTAGATGCAGCAATCCAATTACTATGCGTTTTCCTAAGAAGTTGTTCAAGTCAGGGGCACATGGGTGGCTCAGTCGGTTAAGCATCTGCCTTCAGCTCGGGTCATGATCCCAGGGTCCTGGGATCGAGCCCCACGTTGGGCTCCCTGCTCAGTGGGAAGCCTGCTTCTCCCTCTCCTGTTGCCCCTCCCCCACTCGTGCTCTCTCTCGCTCTATCTCAAATTCATAAAATTTTAGAAAAAGTTGTTCAAGTCGGTGTGCAAAGACATAAGCATGAGGCTTCTCTCTGCAGCACTGTTTATAACAGGGAAAAAATGAGAAACAGCCTAAATGCCCTCATGAATGGTTAAGTAAACTCTGACAGAGATGAGAATGGAATATTACACAGGCTTCAAAAAGAATGTGGAGACTGTCCATACATGGATGCAGAAAGCCGTGCGAGATGAACTGAGGAGTAAGACACATAACATCATCTAACTTATGAGATGATTACCAGGGCTCTCTTCAGGAGCCGGGGATATGAGAAAACTTTTAGGGCACTTACTATTTTGTGCAAAGTGGAAGCGCTGCTTGGATGAAAAGCAAAACAAAGATGAAGACAAAGATATTCAAAGCCCTCCCCATGCTTCTCCCAAGAAGACTACTTGCAGGTGGGAGGGGGAGAACCGGATTTGAATCCGATCCCAAGTCACCTGGGAAATGCAGAAAAGCTGCTACTTCCGGGAAATGCCCAGTCTTCATAAAGTCCCCAGAAATGAGTCCTTCCACCGCCCCCCACAGCCTGTAGCACACCCAGCCCAATGTCCTTGCTAACTCTGTGAGCTCAGATAAAGCAGGTCGCCTCATTAAGCCTTAGTTTCCCCGTCTGTGAAATGAGGAAAACACAGAGATGATGCGGAGAAACCACACCATTCTACTCTGAGCCACCCCGATACCTTCCTATCCCTGAAGAACCCACTGGACCCTGATTTCTATTTAGATATTTAAGAATCTGGATGTAGTGGAAAGAATGAAGGTATTGGACTCGGGAAGATACGTGTTCTCTAAAAGATCCGCCATCTAATGCTGTGTGGCCTTGGATGAGGCACTTAACCTCTCTGAGCCTCACGAGACTGTTGAAAAGATCCCACCATATGCCCTAGAAAATACCTGGCACTTAGTAGAAACTTCTGTTACGCCTTCACAAAAATGACTCATGCTTTCAGCCCACAGAATTTCTCAGGAGGAAGCCTGTCTCCTTGACTTGGGAGGCCTTTCCTCAGGGGAAAACTTAAGGTTCTAAATTTGGATTTTTAAAATGACGTCTTTATTTTCACTAATCTTGAATTGAAATTTAGCATTCCTTTCTGTTACAAATGTAGGCAACAAGCCACGGTTGTATTAGCAACCCTAGCGACTGTCATCAACAGAAATGAAATAATTTCATTTCCACCGCAGCTGCTGTAGATGCCTCAAGATACCATTTGTGCTTATCACAGCTTCAAAATGACAGTCCTTTTAGACCTGCTACTGGATCCTGTTACCTAAGACATTTATAAAGCGCACATAATCCCATATTGCCGTTTAAAAATATTTTGTTAACTACGTTTCAGGATAACTGGTTTTCTTTTTGCAATCTATGCATTTGATAGGATGCATTTAATCATATTATTCTGAGAAGTGTGACCCATAAGTTTCACCAGACCACCGGAGAGGCCCATGGCACCAAACAGGCTAAGAACTCCTCCCTGGAAGAAATACATATCAGTAAATCCCCAACTTAGTTGTGACTTTTGCCATAAACCAACTATTCTTTCATGGCTTAGGAGTCCACCTGAAATCAGGTGGTACCAAGAACACTACATCTAACACAGCGTGAAGGATGCTGCATTGGCCCTTTCCATCCTTTCTGTGACCCTATGAAACAGGTACTGGTTTTATCCCCACTTTCCGGGGTGAGGCCACCAAGGCCTTGGGAGGTCAAGCAACTTGCCCGTGGTCACAGAGCTAGAAAGAGACACAACCAGGATTCTAACCCAACTGTACCCTCGCTACTCCTAGACGGGCTCCTGATTATTTCTTTCCATTTTTAGGATGCAATATACTTTTAGAGGAGCAGGGGGCTTAGGCCCCAAGATTCCTCTCCTGCTTCTCCCATCCCTCGGGGGTGCAACGATCTCCACCCTGGCCCCTGACTTTGTTTGTCATGTGAAAGCACGTCAGAGTAGCCAGACAGGGGACAAGGAGTGTCTGCCAAGTTTCCATGAGGCTACAGAGCCCTCACAACACCCAGGGGTCCCCTGGCCGAGCTTTCCCGTGGCATGTACCACCTCCAAACCAAAGCTGGAGCCATCCTGAGCAGCCACACCACTTGGAATCGCCCCCTGGGGCCAGAAGTCTGAAAGGAATGAAGTTAGCTTTACAGTCCTCTCCTTTGAGGCTCCAGCTACGTAATGGAAAAAAAAAAAAAAAAGGAGGAGGAGGAAAATTATAATAATAATAAAACATTATAAAAGTTGTCAAATCTCACTGGCAATTCTATTTAGGTCTGCTTAGTTCAAGAACGGAGCTGCCCGAGCTCCAACAGGAAGGAGGAAATCTCTTTTTAGTTTTATATTCTTAATGGGGACAGTTATTTTTTTTAATTAAAGAAATCAACTCCTCCCCCCAAAAGAAAATTTGGCTGAGGGATTTTACAAGAGAATGTATCAATGGATTCCGTGGAATTCTCCCTTCCAGCACTGCCAAATTGCAAAATTACTCTCTAGAAAGGCCAAATCCTGCTTTTGATTACTAACACTCACAGAAGTGGAAAAGCCATATTATCCCAATAACCACTAGTCCCTCGCAGCTTGTTTTTCTCCAGGGTGCTTGAAACATCCTCCCCACCGTCAATCATGAACCCGTCCTTGGGTGCCTGCAATCTACGTCCCCAAGTCCAGCTGACAGGTGGACTGACAGCACACAAGGGTGAAGTGCCTTCTCCATCACCGTGGGATTACAAAGGCAAAGGGAAGAAAACATAGCAATCACACAAGCTGTGGGCATTTTTACTGGGCTCCTCAATGCACCGATCAGAGGAACATGATCCGTGGCACTACGACCGCCGTGGACTGTCCTTGCAGCGGGAAGACAGACCCTCCTCCCCTGTAGCTCGAGAGCATCCGTGAAGAATCCAGGGCACAAAGGAAGCAAAGGAAAAGTTGAAAAGCCCCTGTGTGTCTGGGAAGAGGGGCAGCAACAGAGTGCTTTTTCCTCAGCCGGGTCCCCATCCTCGATGCCCCCACCTCCAACTCCTCATCAACCTTGTTCTTTGGGGCCTCTTAACGCCCCAGCCGCTCTACTGGTATAGACTTACATGCGTTCCCTCCTTTGATCCGGGCAACAAGCCCACTCCACTGGGATGATTAGATACACTTTTGAGGTAAAGACATTGAGGCTCAGACAGGGTAAGCACCTGGCCCGGCCCCAGAATGCACAGCTGAGAGGAGAATAGAGTCGAGCTTGGCCCTGGGTCAGTGCTATTCCCAAGCTCTTGCCAGTGAATTTCTACTTGATCACAGGAGCGGGGCTGCCCACACCAACTGGCCTCTATAAGGCTGCCTGGTGCTAACAGCTGGCCCCGGGCTGCATGGGGCAATGTCAAGTTCTA